GGAAGAATCCCACTCTGCTGCTACTTCAATCAAGCCTGTCATTCCCTTAAATAATTAAAAATACTAGAAATTAGGCTAAGTCAAAAGATCAACAAAGAATCCCTGGGCAGGATGGAGCTTGAGCCTTACATCCCCCACTGAAAGGGTGCCAGATAGGCATAACTCACTTTGTTCAGACCCATCCCTACTGCACCTTGTCCCTCCCATCCACAGGACCAGCACCAAGGGTGGGCATGGTCAGGCACCTGCTGAGGACCCACCCTCCAGCAGAGGACCACCGATGAGCTCTGCTCTTCGACTTCACCTCTGCAACCTGCTTGTTCTTCTGCCTCTTACACTGATGCCTGAAATAGTGGGGATAAGTTGGAGGAGCAGATGTGCCAGTCTGCTTGCTCACTGGCTTTCTGCCTAGCAAGCAAAAAAACAGTAGCAGCAAAGATGAGGAAGAGGAGCAACAGCCGCTACTGACGGTGGGGAGAATCGCTGAGGCAGGACCACTGAGGCATCTCGCTCATACCTCCCCTCTCCAATGTGTTGCACTTTCTCCACCTAGTCTTCCTTCTCCTTCTCTGCCACTTAAATCTAGATTATAAGCTTCTTGGTCAGAGACCAGCCTCCAATTCAGACTACTCTAAAAAGCACCATGTACTAAGCACTGATGGTACAATAGAACCTAACTCCGCCTTCAAGCTATTTTGCTGCTCTCAGCCCAGCGAATCAGGAACATGAACAGGCATCAGAAAAATCACCTTTACTTTGGAACAACTCCACTGGAGTTGGAAAAAAGAAGATTGTGGGGCTTAAAGCATTCATCTGTTGATTCTCTCCCAATTTATGCAAATTTAAAAGGGATTTACAGCGCCTAGATTTTGTTTATTATGTGCTTTGCAAGAAATCCCTTGTGTTATCCATGGTTACAGGAACTGCTTTCTACAGCCAAATCATGTGTGTGACTTGATTTGGCAGATAAGAAATTCAGAATAAAGAGGAGTCAGTTGTACACCTCAAGGGTCCTAAGTTATAGCTCCACCATTTAAGCCACCAATTAAAGAATTACTCAAGGTATGTTAGGATACTGCCCTCCTGAGGAAACTAGAGAAAATATTAAGTGCTTTACATGACGCATATTGAGCATAAAACACCATGCATTCATCGCATTCCCATAGATACTTGCAATTAAAAGATAGTACAATTGAAGAGGAAAGATATTAAAGATCAGTAGGATACTGGATGTTCCAGTACTTCGTGCATGCTCTTATTAAACACCTGATAAAAAGAAAGAAGAACAAATGGAATTGAAGCAGCATGTGGCAACACTCTACACCAGAGGAAATTGTCAGATCAAATAAGCAGAAAGCAGACCTCTTTTTAACAGGAAAAAAAGGACTTTACTCCTGAGTTTTTTATCACACACAGGGTGCTCCTTTCTTTAAGATCCCCTTTGAATCAGGATTGCCACATGACCTGGACCATCCTTGATGTTTAGCCCTGGTCATGGCACACAAACCTCGTGCAACAGAGGGTCAGAATTCACCAACCGGAACACTCAAAGATGGTAGAGCCATTCCAGGAGCACCCCTGCCGCTTTTGCCCTGTGGTCTTGTGAGGCTTTGAAAGCAAGAGAAGAACCCACTCCTCACTCCTCTGCTTGTAGAAGGAGATCCAGCTGCTTTCAACCACTTTCCCTCGATAGGAAGCAGAAGCCAATGCAAACTCCAAGCCAGGTGTTCAGAGAATGGGTTCGGGAGCAATTGCAAAATTTTCCTCCGTGCCACAAAGCTGGGCTTGGGATGCATGCACCACCATTACTCAGCTCTTTTGCCCTCCTTGCAACCGAGTCAGCAGATTCAGTATTACCTGATAAAGTAGGTTGGTTATTTTTATACTACAGATGTGGATGTGAGAAGAGAATAGTAGCTTGCTTATGGAGTTTCTGTCTGAGCACATGCTTGTTTCTATGAAGCTCAGGGAACCAAGATTAAAGGTGGATGCCTGGGAGTACTTCCTGACACTTAGGACCCCAGGGCATGGAAAGGGCTTCCACAGGAGGGGTCGAAGCCCCCATCGGTGAGGGTGTTTAAGGACAGGCTGGACATGCACATGGTAGGCATGTCATGAGTGGGGCAGGCTGTAACTGGGGGTCAGACTAGATGGCCCATGAGACCCCTTCTGACTTGCTCTGTTTCTGTTTCTAAATGTGGACTTCTCTGGCTCACAGCTCATTCACTCTTAGAGTATCCCTCAAGAGAGGGCCAGCAGAGTTGCACATTTGCCAAGGGTCCATACTCTAGCAGGGTCCCACTGACAAGGACCCCCTGGGCTTGTTCTTTCTCTCCACCACTGCTTTCTGCTCGTTCCCTCGCCTCTCGCTCCGATCCAGGCAACAGTGCCGAGGCTGAGAGGAAGATGCCAGCAGGCAAGTGGTAGCTATGAGAAGAAAGAGAAGAATCTACAGGAGCTGGTCAACATGCTGGGAACACTAGAAGACTGGTGCTGTGGACCTTCTATAGGCTTTCGAATGGTCACAAAATGCCGGACTAGATAAGCCCTTGGTCTGAGCCAGAAAGGCTCCAATTTGTTTAAAACAACACAAATAAGGAGAGGTGTACTATTGGAGTGGGCAGGCATCCTGTCATTTTTAAAAGTTTCTTTTCTTTAAGGGTGAAACTGTCAGTCAAGTTTTTACTCCATCTTGATTCAAATTTTAGGGGGATTCTTCAGGAACAGTTCTGTCCAATGGGCTGCCAACTGGTCGCACTTTGCTCTTGGCAACCTCCTTCCACTCCATGGTAGCCAACTGCAGTGTCCATGTATGCACGCCTCACTCCTTTCAATCTTCAATTAAAGCCCACATTTCTTATGAGTGAACTCTCATGCAGCCACAGAAATGTGCTAGAAAGTCAGAAAACACTTCTCTAGTCACTACCTGGTGCTTATGGGCTATGTGACCTACATTTGGAGTTTGATACAGGAATATCTGTGAAAGCCAGAACATCAGTGGTAACACATCGCCGAAACAACTCTACCAGATTGAAATTCAGGAACAGCAGTTACGTGTGACATTATGTCAATCAAGTGCCATGACTTGCCAAAGCAAAAAACACAACTTCCAGGGAATCTTCTTGGCCACAGAGAAATTTTTCTGAGTTGCAGTTTCTTAGCAATGAAAGAAGCAAGTTGCTTACAAGGAATCATCAAAATAAAACAGTGGTTTAACATTAGGAAGTGGAGTACCTGGGCCTTAATGGAAAAAGCAAGTATTGGCCTCTTTAAAAATAAGAAGCCCAAAGCAAAATAACCATGGAAATAAATGATCCTTGACAATCTTGTGTTTGTATCCTTTAGTCTTGCAAATAGGCAGTTGTCAGAGACAGCTGCAGCCTTCCCCACTCCATTTTTTCCAAGCCATTTCCCCCTCCATGGGTTTAGCTAAACAGCCACCATTTAAAATCCTGCCAACAAAATTATCCAGCCAGCAGTGATCTGTGGAAAGCCAACAAGATTCAAGCCACTCCAATCTCTGGAATTTGGCGAGTTCAAGCCCCTATTGGGAACCTGAAGGAACACTGCTGCACAGATCGCATCCACGTCATTTTCCATCCATCCTGCGCCTGCCCTGATCATGTCCTTAGCCACAGAAGTGCAGCATTTTGGGCTGGGGCAGGGGCGATGTCCATTACCTTTACCCTCAAGATATCTGTCAGCACTGGGGAGACAGTGCTGCACCCCCACTTAAGTTAAAGAGACCCACTCTGTAGGTCAGATAAACCCAGCGGGCTATGGACTCGCTGCTTAGCTTTAGTTACATTTTAAATCTGTACCAAATTATGTCACCTTTTATATCTTTTACAAACTGTACAGAATGGCTGTGTTCAGACAACGTGGCATGGAGTTACCAGGGCTCATGGTTTTTTTACTATGTTTTCCCTGACAAATGGCCATTTGTCATTTTTTTTCTACTTTGTCAGGGTTTCCAGTCTCCCCACTTAGTCCTCCCATTGTTGGTATGTGTCCCATCAGCCGCTGTGCCTGAATTTCAGTCCCAAAGAATGAATTCAGCCTGGTTCAATCCCAAGCATTGAATTCAGTCCCAAGCATTGGTCCCTGCCTATGTTGCCCGCCTCTTCCTCATTAGTCCACACATCAAGGCTAGATGGATGGAGAGGCTCCTGAACTCGCCACTCTTCCCAGAGCGCTCTGCAGTAGCTGTATACCAGGACTGTGAAAACCGTGCTCCTGGGTTCAAACAAAGCAAGAAACAATAATGATCCGGAGAAACCATAAAGCAAACCATTGTTTCTTATCGTGTTATCAAAAGACCAAACTTACCATGGTAAAATACCAAGACAACACAACAGACCAACAATAGTAACAAAAGCTGCATGGCTCAGCCCTGCTGCTGAGGCTAGCCATGCGGTTACTCTTATCTTCCTGACTGATTCCGAAGTTTGTGTTGTTTCATACAGTACACTTTGGCTCTACTCATCAGTGAGAGGGCATAAGTTGCAGAGGTAGACACAACAGCCAGGTCTGACATGGATCTGAGACAAACCACCTAAGGAATCGGGTTCTGAGATACCATTCAAGGGAAATGTATTAAATATTATTATGTTTAATATTATGCATTAATATTATTACTTCCACCAGAAGAATGTCACATGGATTTCCCATCTGAGATACCAAATCATGTTTGTGCCATTTATGAACCAGAAGCACTATACATAAATGTTTGTCATACAGCTAACAGGCAACATCAGTTAGATAGTTTGTGGTAATTGTTCTTTTACTGTGGGGTGAGAAACCTGCAGCCCTTTAGATGTTAGACTAAACCTCCCATTGTCCTTTACCATTGGCCATGTTAGCTAGGACTAATGAAAGCAAATCATCCCCATCTGCTTTACTGAACAAAACAATAACTGAAAACATTGTAGGGCAGGTCTTCCCATCTGGTTTCCTCTGGATGTGCTGAAACCCGGCTGACTGGTGAATTGTTGGAACCACAGGTGGAGGACACCGGGTCAGGGAAACCTGCAATCAATAATATTTAAAGATTTCTGCACGACTCACATCTATGTAAGCCTTTCTTACCTTGCGCCACCAATATCCACCCCGACCATCAATTGTCCATTCAGAGAAAGGATCTCATCTCGCAAGCGAACTTTTCCACATTTACCTGCTGGGCTGTTCTTCTTTAAGTCAGTGACCCAGATGCTTCCAACATCAAGCACGGGCCCTTTATTTCCTTTCTTTTTTTTTCCCACTCTCCGCTTTTCTCCATAGTCCCCCAAAGCAGGAATGTTCCCAAAACTTAAGCCAAGAGACTCGGCTTGTCCAGGATCCTTGGTCAGGTAAACAGTACAGATCTCCATGTCTGCAGGGCTTGGACCATGCTGCAGTCTGCCCTCTTCCGCCGGGAAGTTCAGCTGGATGTACTCCCGCAGCTTCTTAATGGCAGAGTGGCAAAGCCTCTGCTCCGGCTCCTCCACTTCCCCTCTCAGGTGGTTCTGCAGCCACCGATAAAGGATGGGAAGAAACACCGCTGCATTCTCTGGAGTGATGGGCATTGTGGTCACTCCAGGGTTCCATTACGTGAAGCGCTGGTTCCTAGGCTGGCTGATCCAAATTCGACCCGTGCACCTTCCAGGGTCAAGGTGGCCGTGCACTTTCGCAGCTGCCATTGCAACAGAAACAAAGGCCACAAGGAAGCCACAAAGGCACAAACAAAGGTTTCCCAGTTTAGCCAAAATGAATAGAAGGCTTTATGAAGAAGAGAGAAAACAGCTACTCTGGAGAATTCGACAGGAGAAGGAAGGAAGAGATGGGAACTTCTAATTTGGATCTTTCCACAGTTGTCTGTGCAGAATCCACTTGGGCATCCCGTCTTCCACTACCAGCGATTATACTTGCATCTCCCCATTCACCAACACCTGCTTGACCTAGAAAGAGAAAAATGGCACAGTTAAAACCATAATTGTCACTGTCAAATAAAGGACTAGGAGCTGTCGGCAATGCTCATTAATGAGAAAGCTTTTCTTAACATTATTCCATTCGCTTGTTAATTCTATAATCTGTTTGTTTTCTATAAGCGCTTGGATCATTTACTATGTTCCAAAAAGACTACAAAAGAGGAACAAGGCAGCAGGAAGACAAAGATGTGATTATAAATATACAAATGGATGTCCTTCATCTTTTACACACACAGAAAAAATCATGTATCTATTCATCTATGTGATGATACGGTTGCAAGATTCTGTCACTCCCAACGTGGCTCCCTCCAGATGTTGTCCACCACAATGCTGATCATTCCCAAATAGTGGGCCCTACTGGCTGTGGCTGATAGAATTCCAGGTGAAACTGTCTGGAGAGGCCGACATTGGGGAAGGCTATTTGGTCACAATCTTGAAATAGAGCATAAAGGTGAAAGACCAGATGCATATATATCCAAGCAAAGGCCCTCTCCACATAGCCCTGCCTATTCCAAAGGCTGCCATTTCATTGATTGTGTGGAAGTAAAAAGACTGGGCTTTGCACACGCACTTTGCACATGCAGCTGAATGTACTACATCCTCCAGAAAGCGTTTTAGAGCAACTATTTAGGCTTAATTTTCATATGCAAATGACCTGTCCACCTGTCCACATGGCACACCAGTTTAAGTAGCACAGTCCCCCCAAAAACCCACAAATGGGTTTTGCTAGAACACCTTTGCTCAAATTCTTTCTGAGAAATTGCACAGCTCTTAAAATGCCGCTTTACCAACCCTCTTCCCTTCTCACCTATTGCTACCAAGCTAGTGCTTAAACATAAGGGTGCTTTATCCTGCCCACACACATTCCTACACATTTTGCCAGCATTAACACCCTCCAAATTTGCCTCTGTTATTTCTGTTTTGCATGTTTATGAAATTCACAAGTCATGGATTTCAGCCACATTTCAGGAACCCCTGGGCTGAGCCAATTCACAGCTGAAATTTTGGCACGAATCACACAGAAACCATCCCTGGAAAAAGCAGAGAAATCTTGCTTTGAATCCACAAATGCCCGATTCTATGTAGAAATTCTCACATGGACTCAAGCAATATAAATTGGAGTCCCACAGATACCCACGGGACAGGGACTTTTTGTCTGTGATACCTACTGTATCCATTCTCCATGTATGTACCACACACATGTACTATTCTGTCTCTTCCATCCACAGATGGCTGCTGTTGAGATAGTACGGCCTTGTCTCTTGCTCCTGAACGTTCTTCCACCCCCAGCTGCCCAGCTGCCAGAAGGTTTAGAAAGCATTTCCAGAACATCTTGTGACCACTGCACTCTCAAGAGGAGTCCTTAGCATGGCCTTCTCCAAGACTACAACTCCAGCAGTGCCAGCCAACAGGCCAACTGGCACACTGCCTGTGCTGATGGAAGTTGTTGTCCAACACGTACCGGAGGGACTGATTTGGAGACGGGTGCCTTATCACTTCACAGCAAGCTTCATTGGTGGCTGGTTTGCAGGGGATGCCATATGAGGTAAGACTGAGGGAACTGGGTCTCTTCAGCCTGGAGAAGAGAAGACTCAGAGGGGATCTGTTGGCGACATACATGTACGTGAGGGGATGTCACACAGAGGTGGGTAGAGACCTGTTCTCCCCTGCAGAGGAAGGCAGGACGCGCTCCAACGGAGCAAAGCTCAGGGAGCCAAGGTTCCATTTGGATGCCAGGAAGCACTTCCTGACAGTCAGGACCCCGAGGGTATGGAATGGGCTTCCACGGAAGGTGGTTACGGCCCCATCGGTGAGGGTGTTCAAAGATAGGCTACACATGCATGTGGTGGGCATGTCGTGAGCAGAGCCGGCTGGAGCCGGGGATCAGACTAGATAGCCCAGGAGGCCCCTTCTGACCTGCTCTGTTTCTATGTTTCATTCTGTTTGCAAGACCATGCAAAGCCAACATTTGGGCCTACAGCTCAATGAGATGAGCAGCAGTTGGGCTAGCTAAACCAATGTGCTAGCTTTTGACCGATGGAACATCTCACCTTCAACACCTAGGAAAGCCAGAGTTCATCCAAGCAATCAGAATCATAGAAGAGTTGGAAGGGGGCATGAAGGCCACCAAGTCCCACCCCCTGCTGTTGCAGGACACCATGTTACACCATCTCACTCAGATGGCCACCCAGTTTCCTTTTGAATGTCTCTGTGGGAGAGCCCACAACCTCTCTAGGCAGCTGGTTCCACTGTCGTATTGCTCTGACAGTGAGGAAGCTTTTCCTGATGTTCAGCCTGAATCTGGGTTGCCACAACTTGAATTGATTATTCCATGTCCTACACTCTGGCACCTGCAAGAAGAGATCTTGATCTTCCTCTTTGTGACAGCCTTTGAGGTACTTTCAGAAGGATATCATGTCCCCCCTCAGTCTTCTCTTCTCAAGGCTAAACATGCCCAGTTCCCTCAGTGTCTCCTTATAGGGCAGTCTTTCCAAACCCTGGATCATTTTTGTTGCCCTCTGCTGGACCCTTTCTAATTTACCTGCATCTTTCTTAAAACTTGGTGCCCAGTAAAGGTTTCAAATACAACAACCTGAATTTAACCCAGTATGCCATTTTTAATCTTCTCTTGAAAGATCCTGGGACCCATCTGACACGGAAAAAAAGTATCCCTGAAAATCTACATATTTTATCCTTTAGTTTGGTTCCTCGTTCATCTCTCTATGAGAATGGGAACTGCCCCAAAAGATTATTGTATCACTTTGACCAAGATATAAAAATGCAGTATGCTAGAACTAGCACCAGATCTGGCTGAAAGGAGAAGAACAGCTTCTGAAAGGCGGGTGGGCATAAAGGAGAACAAGGTTTCATAAATATTTCTCAAGCTTACTTATCAAACCAGTCCCACAGCATTTTGGGATATCCTGATTACATGAAAACTTTTGTTTCATTCTTTAACAAATTAAGCTTTTCCTTCCTTATATGTCCTTCCCAGCGGAATATCTAAAGCGCCCCCGAGACCCATTTCCTGGCTTATAAAAAGATAATTAAAATGCCCCATTGCTACCTTTTAAACACTGACTTATTTGCATGGCTTCTTCTGCAACTGCTTTTAAAGACTGCGTATCAGAGACACCACTAAAGCCCCAACTCTTCTTAAACAGTTTTAAATGTCTTGCTATTAACTTCAAAAAGGCCTACAATATTATCTTTAACGCTTTAAAAAAATCAGTGCTTTGCTGCTCTTTTATTACTGTGCCCTTGAGCTCCAGTAAAATCATTCAAGACAATAACACAGACGAGGAGTTCATTGACCAGGCTTTGAAATGGAGGCTGATTCCAACATTCAGAAGATGAAGTTGAAGCAAACTGAAACCTCAGAAGCAAACAGAAACCTCAGAATCTGCTGGAGCTACATTGCCATGGGGTCTTGTTGACATTCGGATCCTTCCTACATCAGGTGTGCAGATGAACCCCAAGGATACCTACTAGCCCCAGCAATTAAACTGATGCTCAGGCTGGTCACACACCTCTAGCGGCCACTCATACTGCATTAACCCTCTCCCTGCCTCAACAAAAAACTAGCATTAGTCGCATTTGGGGTCATTATTGACTGCAGTCAAAAGTAATTCAGGCAAGAAAAATACAGCATATGAAAAACCTTTTTTCTGGCTGAAATTTTGCCCCAGAAGGCTTCAATCAGCATACGAATGGCTTTCAGCTATAGACAAATACAAGTAATTTGAAGCAGAATCCTGCTTAAGGTTATGCAGAGCAAGAAGATCTGCGTAACAATGCGTGGCTCATTTACCTTTTCTCTGTATAACAATACGTAGTTTGTTATGAAAGTCATAGCAAAGCATTTCCCAATGGATTTTAGGTTGTTTGCTAAAGGCTTTTTAAAATAATCTTAGTTTTAAAAGGAGACCAAGGTGACCCGTAGCGAACCTTCTTTTGTTCCTTTGTTCAAGACCAATTGTTTGGGGTATAAAAATACCCCATACAACTAATTTCTGGGAGGATTCTGGAGTACCTTTGTGCTACGAGCAAGTTTTACTTGATAGGGAAAAAACCCTGTAAAAGGCAGAAGGCTGAAATTTGGGGACAATTTAGACTAAACACCTAAACATCTAGCAATGACCTAAAAAGACAAGCTGGTAGGACTATTTATGTGTAAACTGCTCTACCAAATGTGAGCTGGGGGACAGCAATTACCCTACAATGCAGAATTAGTGAAAAAGAGTTGGATACTGACAGGACTTCTCTGAATGACTAGGAAGACCAGGCATGGATTGGAGGCGTATCAGTATCACCGCCTGCCTGCTGCTTCTCTCCCACCGCAGACTCGCACAGGGGCCATCTGCACTCTCCCCACGGTCTCCAGCTCGACCTCGCTTGACGTTGCTGTTTATGGGAGAAACTGCGGCACTGTCAAGGAGGAGAGGGAGAGGAGAGATGCTTCAAAGGAACCACCAGGAGCAGGGAGCCACACTGCATTGGGTACTCCTCCTGGGTGGGACTTTGTCTGTAAGGGGATTATGGTTACATCTCATTATTATTGATGTTTACTGTATTATGTATTATACTGTATTATGTATTGATATTATGTATTGCTGGCTCGAATCTGCACAACGGGGTGAGTTCCCATTGCTCCATCACAGCTCCTGCCAACCTTGCAGTTCGAAAGCAGGCAAATGCAAGTAGATAAAAAGGTACCACTTCGGTGGGAAGGTAAACAGCGTTCCGTGCACTTCGGTGTTTAGTCATGCCGGCCACATGACCACGGAGACTGTCTGCGGACAAACGCTGGCTCCCTCGGCCAGGAGATGAGCACCGCCCCCTAGAGGCAGGCATGGCTGGACTTCACATCAAGGGGAAACCTTTACCTTTATTATGTATTGCATTATGTATTACATGATTGTATCAAGGTTTGTTTGATTTATTGCTTACAGTTAAATATTGCATTTATT